TCCCGCCCCCGCAGGGCTAAGGGCTTCCAGCACCAGCGGATGACCAACGGCGCCATGAACGTGGAGATCGGGAACCCCACCTACAAGATGTACGAGGGCGGGGAGCCGGATGACGTGGGGGGCCTCCTGGACGCTGACTTCGCTCTGGACCCTGACAAGGTGGGTGCAGAGGGGCCCCGTGGAGGCGGGCACGGGCTGGCAGCGGGTGAGGAGGCCAGGCCCGAGCCGCCCACCGTTGCCTTGCAGCCCACCAACTTCACCAACCCGGTGTACGCCACGCTCTACATGGGCGGCCAGGGCAGCCGCCACTCCCTGGCCAGCACGGACGAGAAGAGGGAGCTCCTCGGCCGGGGCCCCGAGGACGAGATAGGGGACCCCTTGGCCTAGGGGTCGGCCCAGCAGGTGCCCCGGCGCCTCCTGCCCCTGCCAGAGAAGCCCTCGCCAGCCCGCCCCCGCCCCCGCCCGCGGCCCTGCCTGCCGGAATGTATAAATGTAAAAATGAAGGAATTACTTTTTATATGTGAGCGAGCAAGCGAGCAAGCGAGCACAGTATTATCTCTCCCCTTCTGCCCCTTCCGGCCTGTGCCTGGGCACGGCCCCTCGTTGCCTGGCGGGGCAGGGCTCACAGGTCGGGCCTCCTCCCGCCTTCCCCCCAAACGCACCCCACTGGGACAGCGGTGGTGCTCCCTCCCTGCCCACTCTGTCCAGGCTCCCCCTCTCCGCGCCCCCCTCCCCGCCCCAGCTCCCGGGCTAGTTCTGGGGGAGCTGCCCTCTGCTGCCCCGGGAAGACTGGCTCTGGCCGGCAGGAAGGAAGGGTGGGTTTTTTTAGTTCTTGGGGAAGGCCAGCGGGCCCCAGCTCCCCCTGCGAGACGCCACGGCCAGCCCCTCCCAGACAGGCCCCCTCTGCAGTGCCCCCAGGCTCCCGGGGCTGGAGACTCTGGTAAGCAGTCTCCCAGCTCCCCTCCCCTGAGGACGAGGAGGGGGCGCGCCAAGGAAGGGCGAGCGGCAGCCCCGTTTTGGGGACATGAACGTTTTAATAATTTTTGCTGAATTCCTTTACAACTAAATAACACAAATATTGTTATAAATAAAATTGTAAAAAAAAAAAAGCCACCTGTGTCTGCCTGTGGGTGAGGTTCGGGGCGCCTGGCTGCCTGGGCCGCTTTGGCCACCAGAGGGGGCCTGTGCGGCCGCCGGCTGGCGCTGCCTCCTCCCTGGCCAGGCTGTGGGGGGGAGGGGCTGGGCTTGGGGAGCCCCATCCCTGGCTGTGCCCCCAGCCGCTGACTTCAGCTCTCTACGCCTTGTATCCCCACTGGCTGGAAGACACTGACTCCCAGGTCTGTCAGGTGATGCGCCGACCACCACCCCTGCCCAAACGACCGTCCAGTAGAAACGGACACTCGAGTTGAGAGGTTCGCTAGGCCTCCGGGGTGGCCCCCGACAGTCTCCCTGCCTGAGGTCGCTGCTGGTTGAAGCAGGAGCCGAGAGCAGAGCCCCGGGCTCTGCAGGAAGGCGGACCCCGAGTGCGGGCGCTGGGAAGCCCACGGGCCTCGGCCCTCCTCCTGCCACCTCAGGATTACGGGCCTGGGGGCGACACGCAGGGGCCACCGTGACCCAAGGGACCAGGTCTACTTCAGCCTCTGCCCAGAGAAGCCTGAGCAACTTCACACTGGGCAGAGGGCAGAGCCCCGTGTCCACAGCGCGCACGGGCTCTGGGGTCTGCTGCCAGGGCCCGGCCGCACCCCGGGAGCGCGCCTTGCGCCCCTCCTTCAGTCTCCTTAGCCGTGCCTCCTGTTGGAGAAGTGCGGGCCCCGCCAGCTCTCCCACGCGCCCGTAAGTCAACTCAAAGCCTTCGCCGCCCGCCGGCTGCCCGGGACTGGCCGGCCGGCGCTCCGCTCGCTCGGGAAAGCTGCTCCGGCTGAAGCACAGGGCGGCGTCCCCCGTGTGGCCACCAGGTGGCGCAGCGCCCCCGCCGCTGCCCTCCGCCGAAGCCCGGCGCAGCCCCCTCCCAGCGCACACTAATTACGCACCTGCCAGAGGACCCCAGCCCGCGCACACTTCCTTCCCTCGGGCCGTCTGCCACACCCCTCCACCCTCCGCCAGCCGCCCCCTCCTCCCCGGCGTCTGCCGGCTCCCCACCCCCACTCCCTCCCTTTGCCAGGCTTGCATCTGGCGCCCCCAGGGAGCCACTGATTCTCTGCCTGTCGCCTCAAGATCCTGGGCAGTGTGAGAGGAGCCCCCAGCTGCGGAATGGAACGCACACCCCTCCAGTCAGCATCCTCCGCGCAGCAGGATTGGCCAGGAGGGTCCACCGCGTCCCCCAGCTGGCAAGGGGAGCAGAGGGGACCTGGGAGATGCAGAAGAGGAGCCGAGCAGGCGAGGGCAGAGACTGAGGACAGATGAGCTCGCGCCTGGGAGGGGGTGGTGGCCTCAGTGGCGAAAGAAAGAAATGCAGGAGTCAGGACCGCGGGAGGCGGGAGGCGGCAGACCTGGCACCAGGCGCTCGCTCAGCCACCCTCGCCCGAGGCCGCCGTGCTAGCACCTGGGCTGGGGCTCTGCCTGGCCACCCCTGCCCCTTCCTGCCTCTGTCCTCCCCCCACCTGCCCCACGTTGCTGCCTCCTGCCCGCCTGTCCCACCCGGTGGCCACACATCGCCTTCCTGATGCTTGTGTGGTGTCTGTCACCGCCTGTCAGTCTGCAAGTGTCAGGGCCAGTGCACACCTGGCTGTGGGAGGCTCCGTGGGTGGCCACCGGCTGGCTGGCCCCCGGCTGCGGCTGTCTCCCTGCCATCTCCCTGCCAGGCGGGGAGCCTGGCTGGGGTGCTCGTCCTTTGTGGCCTGTGCCTGTGCTCCTGGGTTCGAGGGCTCCGTCCCTGCTCCTCAGGGGTGCACCTGTCTGGGCTGTGCGGGGCGAACACGCTCACCCGGGTGCCCGCCGGAGGGCATCCGCTGCCCGCGGAGCCCTGTCTGCTGTCTCCTCCAGCCGCTCTCCGCTGTCCCTCTCCCTGTCTAGTGCTGGTCAAGCCACAGCCTCAGCGCATAGCAACAGCTGACAGCTGAGGCTGGGGAGAGCGCCGGCAGGGGGAGGCCATGGAGACCAGGAGCTGGGCACAGAGGGGCTGGGGCTGTGGACGCCGGGCACAAGGACAGAAGCAGGGGAGCAAGGGGCGAGGGGACAGATGGGAGAGCGGGCGGAGGGCTGGAGAGGCCCCAGAGGCCCCGCGGGACGCTGAGGGCACTTCCTGCGCACCCCCACGCGGAGACTCGGGGACCCGCGGGGGTAGGAGGGCAAAGGTGACGGCGGGCACAGCCGAGGGGGCTTGAGCCCACGGCGGAGCTGCCGAGACGGGTGAGGGCGGCGGGCGCGCTCGTCAGCCCTATTGACAGACGTGATGGGGTTTCCGTCCGTGATCAATGATTCTCATCTCCGGGCCGAATGAGCCGCGGGGCGCCCATCCATCCCCGTCAGCGCCGCGCGGCAGCCGCCC